TGCTGTCAGTAGCAGAGTTGGCATTCTGTAAATTCTCTGGAAGAAAGTCAGAAAAATATGTAGTTTAATGTTTGACAATGACTGATTTATAAATCAAGTCATTTCTCAATAATGTATAAAAAATACAGGAAAATTATTTGTTTCTTGTCTTGAAATGTTAAATGTACATTAAATGATGGAATTATGTAAATATGTTCTTTAATTAAACACTGTAAAAGTGTCTGTTCATCAATGTGAATATAAAAATAAGAATCATTTCTATCAAATAAAACATTGTGCTCTTTATTCAGAAATGCACCGAAACAATTAAATAATCACATCAAAAGTTAGAAACTCTCTTTAGTTATTTCTCTGATTATCAGATATATTAATGTGTGAGAAAATGTGTCAATGACAGGAATTAATTTAAAATACTTTGTAGAACGGCACTTTGAAGTTCGGTCCATTTACTTGTATTAGCTTACTGGGACATTCAATATGGCGGACGCTGTTACGTATCGCAGAAACGGGCCGAAGCGCTCCATGACCTCTGACCCGCTCCATGACCTCTGACCCGCTCCATGAGGCGTCTACGTGTTCATGTTTATGGGCTCCAATTTTTTTAGCCATAACTGCAAGAGCTGTACAATGAACAAGATGCAAAAAGTTAAAATATCTGTGAGCTACTGGTACAACAACTGGGTTTTGTTGTGTGCTGTTGTGTCCATTAATTAGCCGGTACCATCCATTGCCTTATGAGGGCGACAGCGGACTGTAGCCAAAACTTAGCCAGTACAGCTAACACACGGCTTGTAGCTGCCTGCTATTTCAAACTTGAGGATATTGAAGATCCAGCGTCAGAAATGGAAGACGGAGGTTAAAAGGAGCTGTACGGTTCGTTCACTGGAATAATTTGTTGGAGGAAAATAATGCGGGAGGAAATCCACTGTTACGGGAACAGGCTGAGAAGGGTTAGGTTTAGAGAAAAACAAAACAAGGTCTAGGTGAAAAATAAATCTCTTTCTTTTGAACAAGGGTCTTTGTTCAAATGTTTAGAAAGGGAGGAAAGGGGGGATTCCAGATGTAACCGACATGAGAAAATCTTGTTTGAGAATGACCTCTGCTCTCTCTGACTTTTACTGACTCTGGACCTTTGCTCTTTCTCTCTCCTTATCTTTGGTTTTGAATACGTCTCAAAGAAGGTGACAAAATCATTTAGACCATCCCATCTAGGTAATTTGAAACTGCTTACAGGTTTAAAAGGAGAGGACACACCTTCAATGCATATATTAAAATTAGGACTCCACCTCTTAGTAAAAACCTCCACTCCACAGAAGCAAATCGAATTGCTTTGTTTGTAGCCGCATGAGCAGTTCCCAAAGGCGCCTTTGCTTTTTCTCTTATTGTATTTTGTTAATTTTTCTACTTTTCTCAGGTAATTAATGTCTGCTTCTGGTTTTGACTTTTTGATGTTTTAGGTGTGATGCTGATCTGTTTTTCTCTCCATTTAATTGTCTGAATAAAACCCTAGATATGTCTGAAGTTGAATGGCGAGCAGTTGTTCTTTGTGTGGTTTCCACTTTGTAGAGGAACCCTGAATTCGGGACACTAGAGGAAAACAAACATTTTATTCCTCTAATTTAAGTTTATTTAAGATTAGTTGAATTGTGTCCAGTGTTAGTTATTTTCTATAGTTGATTCCATCGGTGTTGAATTAACTCTAATGGGAGGAAAATAAGCTCCTCCCTCCTTCATCGTCTTCCGTGGAGTGAAATTTGAAAACTGCTCCATTTGTTTTTCTTCTCCTGTTGTTCTAAACGGTAAGTGCAACTTCTTAAATAATAATAATAATGATGTGACTTTTCCCACTAATTTAATACTTTGTCTATTTTGCAACAGCTACCCGATTTATTAGTTAGCAGCCCATGTGTGGGTTGCTAGTTAGCAGCTGTCGCACTTACAACAGTAACACCATTGTAACTGCAACTTTTACACACACACACACACAAATATTGGGCTGTGTACTTGTAAAAAATAAAGTTTGATTTTTGTACCATTTAAAATCATAATTTTGGCCATGGTAATTATTAAGAGAATCAAAATCATTAGGTTCTGGCTCGTTATATTCTCTTGTGCTCCCGGATTAATTGATGCCATGCGTGGAAATAAAAGCCACACAGAGTTAACATTCAGAGCTCCACGTCATGCATTTTCAGAATTTATTCAAACATTTAAAAGTATAAAATCACATTGACAACACAGACACTTCAAACACACTAAAGCAGACATTCATTTACCTGAGACTAATAGAAAAGAAGAAGAAAGATAAAAAGGCAAAGAGTCTTTGGAGAGTTGCTAAAGCAAATTTGATTCGTTCCTCTAGGATCCATACTTTTATTCAAAAGGTGTTTCCTTTGTTTTAATTTACGCGATTAAGGCGTGTTGTTCTCCTGGTATGGATAGACCCAGTTTCAAATTACTCAGTTTGGGCAATTTTATTACCTTCTGAGACCTGTTTAATTTCAGGGCTACGGCACTTCTCAATCTAGACAAGGGAGACCTATAGGGTCATTTAGAGCAGGCTCTTCTCCTGCCAGTTTGAGATGTGATGTTACTCCTAATTCCTGGTTGGAACAAAACCTCTAGTCTTCCACCAGAGTTCAACCAAAAGTTAACCTGTCTTAGACCTATTTTATTTCCCTGTTGTGTAATTCCTACAAATCCATATCAGTGCAGTAATTTTAAATCGACATAAAGCCTGGTACGCAAAGTGGTTCAGAACTTCTGCATCCTCTTAGATCAAAGCACAGATTTTAAGAATAAAACACTTATAGAATATACCTGAGCATTTTCAATATAAACACATTCATTCTAAACATTTTCTAATTAATGTGCTCATTTTGATTATATTTAACTAACTGATATTACATTTGGCCTAGGTTAGAGACTCCATGTAGTTAATAAAAAACTACAAATTAGACTAGTTCAAGTCATGTTAATTTTAACTAAATTGCATTCTACTAATTAAATTGCAATTATTGTTAGTACTGTGTTGTTAGTTTGTTTGTCCTTAAGTTTTAGTGTCTCTCTGAGGGAGATGACTTGAGATGTCTCCTCGCTGCCTGTGTGCCAAGGTTAATTTATGACCTGGTTCCTCCCTGATGACAGACATTCTTTTCTCCAGGACTAACTTAAAGCCCTCTAAGATGTTATCCAAAGGACTCTTACTTAATTCACTATTTTCACGTCGTAAGATTTAACTGTATTAAACCCTATGAATATTTATTTTCCTCAACATAATGTAAATGCTACTAGCCTTTACATTCACACGGCTAACAGGTAGCACGCTGAAGTGTTACATTCTCCAACATGCATAGGAGTATTGCACTGAGGGGAACACTTGACTTAAGTCATTTTTGCTTTGTCTAGATTTATTCCATATGTAACATACTTAAATGGTTCAAGTTAAATCCTGCTAAAATACACCAAGTTGTATTGCATTCACCTAAGAAAGAGCGGGGTATTATGGGTAATCCTCAGAGCCATGAGGATCACTGACGAGGTAACGTGTCTCTGCTATGTGATAAAGAAATATTATTTATGCACTTTGAATATGTTTATGGTTTTTGTTTTTGCATATTATTGAAATATGTTTAATCCAGGTCACGCTAGTTCTGCTATTATATAGTTTTTGTCGTGTTTTAGGAGTGCTTAGTGCGTGAGAAAGTGTGGTGGGAATTTCCCACGCTGTAACATTATGGCTCCGCCTTGCAGGAGCTGGTTTTATCCCAGAGACTGGCCTTACCTCGATGCCCGTTGTGTCAAATGTAGATGGTGAATAAAAGAAACGACTGATGCCAACTTGAGCAGCTCCTTGTCGTTCATTACCACACCAAGAGAAGCCACCAAATCCACATAGGCCACACATACATCAGTAAAATGCTGATCCAGCATCATCGTGACCTGGACACGAATGGGAAGTTGGATGAGATTGGAGGGGAGTTTGTCTTTCATCAGCTCTGTACAAAAGACTGTTATTTGTTTTCAGCCCTCTAGACTGGTTTTCCTTTATCAAGGTGTTTTATATGTAGTATTTTATTTCCACCACTGGGTGGCTCCTCGACCATATTTGTTCATAGATCTGAGTGTGGATGTCAACACAGACTTCGTTTATTACCTCTTTCTACTGTGTGCGTCCATTGAATGTAAGTAATGCTGTTGGTGGTTTAGTTCGGTTTCATAAAAGCCTAAGAGCTGTACTTGTACTTTGTCCTGTTGAATATTATGGCCGTTTGGTGTGGGTTACTCGGATTGTGGAGAGCTAAAAGTTAGCCGTTTAGCATTAAGCTATTAAGCTCGGTTAATTAGATGCAGCTGTTATTTGTGTTGGCACTTTCAACTGAAATGCCTTATTTCTCTTGTATGTTTTATCATGTGACGCTATTATTAGCAGGGTTGATTATTATTTATGTGTAATTATTGTTTACGTTCTCATACTCAGATATTAACCAGTTGCTAGTCTATAGTAATCTTTAAACACATTTATTCACTTTGTGGACATTTGGTTTATTTGTGAAAGTATTTACAGGCAGGTTCTCATAATTTCTATTTGTTTATGTATGTAGAAAAACACACACACACCTATGCCTTCATATGTATGGAGGAACCTCAAGAGCTAATAAAAGTCAAGTAAAGCTCAATACTGAACTCGGACGTTCTCTTATTTGTCCTAACCCGACACCCTGGAGTGATTGTTTATCCATAACCAAACCAGCCTCAGTCTTCATTACAAGCTCCACGAGGAAGGTTTGTGGTTTTTAATTTAACCTCTGTGGAGTCGGTGGGAGGGAATGATAGGCTTTTTTTATGTACTTGGTTCTTAACACTAATACAAATTTGTGGTGAGTAAAAGGGGTAAGCCATTGTATTTTCAATTTTGCAATATGTTCACCATGCTAATCATATGAACTCAAAATACTAATAACTCAAATAAAGCTAATTACAAAATCTGGCTGATTATATAATTACACTTTAACTTTTTCAGTCATTGAAAGATTTTTCCTGCCACCTGATGCCAAAGTTGCATCGAAGGGTGCGACAGATACTGAAGTTGATGGAGAAATATTCAGTGATCTCATTAGACAAGCCAATGTTATGCTGAATGTTTTCTGCCATGATGGTGAGATATAAAAGCAAATTAAAGATTTTACAAAAAGATGAAACTGATATTTGCTTTGTCTTCTCCTTAAGAGTTCTCAGCAGGTTCACCTGCTTCTGAGCCTTTCTCAGACTTCAGCTCAAATGCATCAACCTCCACAATAATGATGGATGAGATACTGTGCAAGAAGCAAAAACCCGACACTCCTGAAAATGCAGTGTCTGCTAAAAAGGTAACATGATTTCAGTGTGCCCCTAAGCTCTTTAAACATGTTGTGCCATATGTAGGTAATCTAAATGTCTCCGTCTATTTCCTTTTCTATTTTTCTTAATTTCATAGCTGGTTGAAGGTGCTCTACAAAATATGTCTGGTGGTGAAGAAGTTCTGCAAGAGTGGAACAACAGAAACCCTCAGTGGTGAACATGCTGGTGGCTCACAGAGTTAATAAACATAGGTAGGTGTGTTTTTACACTTCTAAATCTATGGTAAAAAGTCAATTTTTTTCACTAAAATGAAATCTCCTGTTAGGCACCTTCCTGCTAAACCAATCAGAGAAGAGTACCTGAGGATGGTGACATCTTCCAAAACCACCTGAAGTCTCCAGGAATCAGTGCGTGGGACGCAGTCGAGACTTGCTGTCTTTTATAAGGTAATTGAAATAAAAATATGTGTAGTAATTTGTCACTTTGCTTTTATAGACATTACATTCAACAGGTGATTAAACACAGCTTTGAGTATGTCTGGGGAAACACTAATTTCTTGCACTGGTTTGTATGAATCCTTAAAGTTTTATAACTTTAAGGATATAAAACTTATATTATAAGTGAGTTTGCTCTCAAGTTGAAGGGCTGTTAGGGACAGTTCAGGTTTGTCACCGCTCTCAACCTGGAGTGTCGGCCAGAACACCACTCAGCCAGGATTCAGCTCAGGACCAGATGTTTAATGAAGACACGAGGCAGGGTCCTTTAACTGCTCTGTTTTACAAACTGTATCACAGATATTGATCCAATGAACATGGATGGCATAAATGTGTCTACATGAAGGTGTGTATGGTTTCCTAGAATAAACAAAAATACAGAAAATAAGTTCAAGGTGTCCTATCATTACACCATGCCATTATACCTTAGATAAACTAAGAAGGAAACCTCTAAGTCAATATTACTAAGCAAACTAAGGCAGGTTAACTCCACAGTTAACTAATAACCATGCCTCTGCTCCACTGAGCATAGATATGTATGTTCAACACAATGCTCTATAATACACACATAGCATTTAGCTTGGACTTAGCAACAGGTGAAATAACAGCAAACAAACTTCAAATCACTCATTTAGCTGCAGTAAACACTCAAATATTGCAACTTACTTCTCAATGACGCACTTATAAGGAGAACACATATCTTGCAAGTCTTTCCCACGTGTTAGCACAGTGGTTCGGTTACCAAACGTCCCCACCAGAAATCAGCAACGTTGGCTACGGCAAGGTGACGACGTCATCGCTGCCCTACTACGGTATGCCTTAAGGGACAAAAGTAACGCTGAACAGACAACACATAATACAAAGAAATACTCAACACCAAACTTAAACTATATATAAGGGTCTTTTGAACATATATCCTTAAAGTTATAAGTTTAAGGATATAAAGTTATATATCCTGGTATGCCTGGTTTCTTATGTTTGGTGTATATATTTTTTTAATTTTAGTCATGCTGCAGTTTAGAAGAACATCTCTGGGACCAACGGGGTCTGCAGTCATACCTCCTTGCTGTTTGATGTCAGAAGACCAAGATTGACATCATCATGATAAGTGACTCATCCCATGCCAAGCAAACGGATCCCTTGGAGCATTTGATGAGTTATTCAAGACATTTTGTGATTGATGTCTTTTATGATGCTGCATTAATGAATTTTTATACATCCTTGCATTGTATAACATTGATGTTGGCAAAATGAAGGAACCACCCAGACTTGAGAGCAAAACAAGTGATATATTTTTAGTTGACAATCATTTTTTCCTTTGTTAGCCTTTTGATATTCAAAACTCAAATGGAAAGCTAATGAATGTTTGTTCACTGTACAACAGTTTAAAATGTTGGAAACACAGCTGCAAAAAATAAAACAATTGTTTAAAATTGATTTTTTTTATTTTAGTTTTTCTGTATTATAATTAATTTTAACCAGAGTCATAAAGTAACACATTTTGGAGTAAATACCTAACACTTGAAAGTGTTAAACTAACCCTAACAAAGTAGTTATTTTTTGTTATTTTATCAGTGTCAACCATTGCATCCCATAGTGTTAATGTAACTCTGAAGAGTGTGGACCATATAAACCCTGAAAAGGAGTTAATTTCACTCTGGGAGTTAAATCAACACTGGGCTTTTGGCTGTGCGTTTTCCTCCAAAGCACTCAGCAGATTTGCTTTTGGATATTTTTCATAACTCGACTGGAAGCCCGATGCAGCTGGAAATGGTTTAATGGGAAAACTGACGTTCTGCTGCAGACAGCCGTGTGTCAGATGTCCTCCAATACATTAGTTTTGTTTTTCACTAGGAGTCGTCTGTTTGCTGGCCTTGGATTTGCTGTAAATACATGCAGGACTTTCTGAACTGTTTTAATATTTCTCTTAAGAGGTTTCCTGGTTAGTTCCTTTGTTTTCTATCACAACTGATGCTTTTTATCAGTATTTTTTCCTGTCTCTCCAGTTTGACTAAAGCTTTTAGGATGAAAATGCCAAAGTGCTAAAAACCATCAGAATAGTTCAAACAGCAGCCAGTTTCTCCAGAAGCAGTTATTCTTTGTGTCCACTAAGAGGCGCTGCCGGTCTGCAGTAAGCTTTGCAGAGCGAAGCGTGGCCTGTCATAAAAGATTTTACAAAGTGTTCGGTTCCGTAAGATATGGCAGATGACCATGAATGAATTTAAATGATGGATGTATTTAGATGGAGACTTTAAGCTGCTTGAAGGTTCTGCTACAGCCAATCAGAAACTGAGGAGGTTAAAGGTGACCAGGCTGCAGGGGGGAGTCAGTCCCGACTCCCTGCAGGTCTGAACGGTGTTCACGGAACCACGGCTTAAAGAAACTTTGTAGAAAAGGTGATTTTCAACATGTTATTGAGCTGATTTACAGACCAAACCATTCCTGAACACCATTCCCAATAAAAGCTCATTAAAGATCAATTTATGGAAAGTTCTTGCATCATTTCAGGAATGCCCAGTAACTTTGATGCTTTAATAAAATCAACAGCTCTGTTTTCTCAGCACAGTCGTTCAGAAATCCTAAATATAAAGTTTTATTCACAGACTTTAGTTGCAGCTGAAAGGGTCCGGTCCGGTCCGTGTAGTAGGTTCTGAAGCTGCTGGGTCTTCATCCGGGATTTAGGGAAGTTTGAAAGGAATTAAATAAATTGGATCTCAGCAGGTTCACTTTCAGTGAACGGACGTTGGTCATCTGTTTAACCGTCCGGTTTTAAATGATTATCTTCTCAGATGTTGGCTGATGCGACTTTAAGTCAGTTTATTTATTGTTGAAAGGTTTTTATGATTTAGGATTTTCTAAATGTGTGGCTTTAAAGGATCGAACTCCAAAACCTCAACGTGAATAAATATCTGCAGTGACTGAACCGATATTTGATTCATGATCGATGGACCTGTTGTGTTCCTCCTCTTCATCATCTTTCTCTTCATCTCCATGTTTGCAGCTTCTCTCTGACTTTCTCTCTCTCGATACTGAAGATTTTTTCCAGGATTTCCAGACGTTTCTGTTTCCCAGGAGGAATTCACTGGGCTAAAGGAGAATAAATATTTAATCAGCGCTGCTGTGGAGTTTCTGCTTAATTAGTGGATTTCTGAAAAAAGAGAAAATGCGCAGGAATCTCAGCATCTTCATCCTCAAAACGTCAAAAGCCGCGATCAAACAACTTCCAGAATGTTAGTGATGAAATTTATTTTTTGTTTTCATTGGAATCGGTTCCGTTTTAATTTGATGTGAAATAAATCTCTGGCACTGAAACGCATCTTATTAGGGGCGCTGGCTGCTGCTGTGTGTAAAGAGAAGCAGAGCGCCATATGTCTGCGGAGTTAATAAATAAATATAGACGCAAAAACCGCCAATCGGTGCCAAACTAGCGCAGCGCCGTCAGCCTGAACTGCAGATTATTCCGCAGAAGTTTAGGACAGTCCGGATGGACTGGATCCAGACCCGGATGGACTGGATCCAGACCCGGATGGACTGGATCCAGACCCGGATGGACTGGATCCAGACTCCGTAGCGCCCGATCTGCTGCAGAGTAAATCAGCTTTAATGGGTGTTGAGCTTCTCGTTTCCCAGGTAACCCTCAGCGGTCACGTGTCATCAATCTGACCTGCTAACTTTGTTTCTTCAGCGCGCGCAGCCCAACACGCGGAACCCCATATTTGGAGCGGACAGTGACGCAATTAGTGCATGCAGCCAATCAGACGCCGGAAGTGAGCCTCGTATTCAGATGAGCAGGCCTTGTATGGTCGCGCCACGCCCCCTCCCGCTCCACGCGGGTCCCGCGGGACCTGCGGAGCGGTGGAGCCCGAGAGAAGGAGCTCTCCGCCGGGACGGAGGAGCCATAAAGAGCCGGGGAGGGAGGGCAGATTTCTCGCTGCCCAATCCCCCTGTTCCCCCGGGAGCAGCAGCCTTCCTCGGCCCGTCCCTCCCTCTTGTTTGCTAATCATTTCATTTTACCCCCTTTTTGAAGCGCTGCCTGTTTTTTTTTTGTCCCACTTTTCTTTTCCACTCGGTCCGCGGCGCTCGCCTGTCTCTGATCCCGGATCCCCGGACTCTCTGCCCGGCCCCTCCGAGATGTTCTCCGCGCTCCTCCAGCTCCGACCCGCGGCTGGGATCTAAACCAAGCCCGCTGAAACCCAGAGGAATCCGCGGCTCTTCTCTGGATCAGGACCCGGCACTTTGAGGAAGCTCCATCCCCTCCTCCTCCCTCTTCCTCCTTCACCCCTCCTCTTCAGCACTCCTCTTTTCTCCACCTTAATCCAGGTGGTCCTCTGGCTTCTTTGAGCGGCTGGTACAGGGAGGATTATTCTTCATCTTCTGTCTTGTTTCTGGTGAAGACAAAGCTCCCAGAAGGACAATCTGATGTTCTCCATCCAGGACAGCCTCCCCCGGGGGGCCCTGACCATGAAGGAGGAGCCGCTCCCCACCGGCATGACCCCGGTCCGCTCCTGGATGCAGGGCGCAGGGATTCTGGACGCCAACACAGCGGCCCAGAGGTAAAACATCCCCGAGGCGCGCAGCTGCGGTTAGACACCGAAGGATCTGCGAGGCTCCGGTTCCGCTTAATGCACAAAACAGGCAGTAAGACGAGGTCCGCCTGCAGGTCTCTGTAGCCAGAACATGAGGTTTTTAAATCTAACAGCTGAAAATAACTTCAGCTGCGTGGAGGGAGAGAAACTTCCCAGATCAACTGTCACACAAGCGTATTCCGCTTTAGTTCAATCTAAACTTTAAAAGTGGAGAATGGTTACAATTTAGATCAAAAAGCAAATTTCAATCATTTCTTGAAGCTTCTGCTGCTCCGCGCCGTTTCCTAAAACCTGATCAGAGACGAACAGATTCACTCATTTAATACATTTATAAGCGGCTCCTGTCCGCGACTCTCCAGGAACATTTATGACAATAAACCATAAAAAACTGTTTGCAGTTGGACCAAAAATTCAAGAGTTTTATTCATAAAACATTAAACTTAAAATAAAGGGTACCTTTATTTTTATTTAAAAGAAAAAGACTAATTTAAGAGAACCGCACCACGGGGTGATAATTTTTTATTTTTTTTTCAATCGTACATTAAATGTGTACAGTAAAGATAAAAACCAAAATCTGCGGCCTAAATTAAAACTTATTCTAAAAGCAGAAGTTTTTCTTTTCACGCTAAACTCGCTGCTGCTTTGACCTGAAACCGTTTCAGGTGAAACTCCGGTGAATCGATGCGGGAATCAGAAACCTGCCAACTAAAATCAGTGCTGAGCAGCGAGTTATGATTTGATTAAGGGTTTTAAATATTTGTAGTTTTTAATCTAGCAGAAATTTCATGTTTACATTCAAACCTCGGGTTTTAATTTTATTCACAGATTATAAAACGCACAAAGATTAAAGTAACATTCCCTTCAGCGCTTTAAATTATTTTCAATTATTTTTCTATCTTCCATTTTTCAGACAGAAGCCAGGATTATTCTAATTTATAAAGTAAGTTTCCGCGTAAATGTCACGTCTCGCCTCTTCTCAGCAAAACTGAATCCAAAGGTTTTCCAGTTCGACATTTTCAGCTTCATGAATGAATCCCGGGGAACCGGGAACGAGGCTGGAATGATGGGAATGTTCTCTGAATTTAACAGAAGAAACTCAGAATAAATCCCAGTCCGAGGGGAGAAACTGGAAAAGTTCTGAATCGTGACGTGTGGAACTGGTTCCGATCCTACAGGAATGGGTCCAAACGAGATTCCCGGTTTCTGAACCAGTGGATCTGTACTTCATCAGTCTGGTCTGCAGCTGAATCAGAGTTTATAAAATTTAATAGTTTCCATTTAAGATGATCGATAAACTGATTAACGACCATCTAACAGAGAACAAGACAAATTCTGTCTGTAACAGAATCAGATAAAAGAGAAAATAGGAAATAAATCAAAAAACCTCTAAAGTTCGACAGGAAATGGTTTACATTTGATTTCTAAAAATAAAACCGAGGCATAAAATCTGGAGAAAACGTTTTGAAGTTCTGGACTTTTTTTTAATTATCCTAAAACGTTTGTTTCTGAAAGAGAACAGAACCGGTCTGCTTCCGGTCCAGATGAGTCAGTTCGGATCAACCCGATTCTTTAATCCTGAAATATTGTGCAGGTGAGGCGGACTTTGACTGAATGTTCCGGTCCATATGGACTCGGTTTCGTCTGTAAATCAGATGAAAGATGTTTGTTGGAAATGAAACTTCATAACGTGAGACGAGATTCTGTCGAAGTTCTTTCAGATATTAATCATATTTTATATTAAAATTTGAATATTTAGTGAGAATATTTGGAGCTTTTCTGTGGAGTAAATTGAATCCGGATTCCGTCTCACATAAATATGGATTTTATTATAAGAGCTGCACGTTTAAAGATTTACTCTGTAATTAAAAAAATGGAGTGAAATAAAATCTGACAGGAATTAATAAAGTGATCAGAAGTGCAACTCTGAGCCTGAGAACAGCTGTTAAAAATTAAATAACAGAACAAAACAAATTGATTTATTGAAACATTAAACCACAAGCTTTTTTTTCACAAAATGGGAATTTTTACTTTTGACTGATAAATAAACGACTTCTCTTTTCCTTCTCAAAGTAGATTTAAACACATTCTACAAAATGTTGGTTTGATGCATGAGTGGAAAAAAACAACCAAATCAGAAACATAAAATAATCTGAATGAGTTGCATAAAAATCCCAAAAAGTTTTTTAAATGGTGCATTAATGCTGCAGTTTGGACTGAAATGATGATGACGATGATGATGGTGTCTGAAAGGATTTTGTCAACATTTGGTCGTTATGTTTTATGAAAATCACTCCTAGATGTTTCGCAGAATGACGAGAAACAGAAACGCTCAGAGTGAAACTCCTTCAAATTATAAATATGTTTTCATTTTGCTGAGATTTTCTCATATCCTCCACAAATAATCAGAACTAAAACTGAACATATTTAAACATGTAATTAAAATCTAATTTTTCAAGTGAAAATCTCCCAGGTGTAAAATAAAAATAAAAAAAACAGGTTGGAATATTTGTAATTTTCTCTGAAGTTGGAACAATTTTATAAGGAACTAAATGAATCTGTTTCTCCCCCTAACAGAACGAGTTGTCTGCTCTCCAGACCTTAAAACTGTCCCTGAACACCTCAGTGCTTCAGTCTGTGGCTCACCCTAACCCCATGAACCATGAAACGTCCGGAAAGCTCAAAGCTGCAGGTGTGACTTTCTAAAAGATCCTCCTTTAGTTCTGAGATCTGTGAAAAGGGGGAAAAGAAGAACCTCGGCTCTTCACGGTCCGTTTTTAACTGAACACATTGTAGAGATAAAACAAGTCAGATGATGAGCTGAAATTTAAGGTTTTCAGGCAAGAGAGAAAAGGGACAAGAATCTAATTTTTTACAGATATTTCTGGTTTATTTTATAGAAATCCAAAAGTTTAATGTTATAAAGTGTGTGTGTGTGTGTGTGTAAGCATGTAGGAGGCTCATATTGCCTTGCCACTGAGCAGGACGAGCCTTCATCCCCGCTGACCTTTGTCCTGTGGGGTTAGAGGTCATTAGCACCTGCAGCAGGTGACGGTGCATTCAGGGCTTCTCTGGCGCGTTTTTCCTTTTCCTCCTAATTTCTGTGCAACTGCATGTTTTGCCTGTGATGGACTGGGGACCCGTCCAGGTGACCCCGCCTCTCACCTGGTGACCTCTGGAGGTCGGAACCAGCAGCTCCACTGGGGATAAGCGTGTTAGATAAACACATGGATGTTTGCTGCGATGCGCCAACGCTCTGAATGACCAGGAATCATGGAAATAAATGGGGACGAGGAGCCGGAGCTGCAGGTTATGAAAACAAACCTCCATAAAACAACTGGAGAATATTTTCCATCATCTCGTTTTTGGCCGCAACCTCTGCTGAGATCGGCTGCAGGATGTCTGACAGAATAAATGATGCATTTCAGCTCAAATGGTGGAGCAGCGCCAGCCTGCAGCTGCAGCCGCCCGGCCTCCATCCATCCTCAGCCCACAAGAGAAATATTTAAACTTCACCAAACCGGAAAAAATCCCTAATCGCTTCAAGACGAAGCTGAAAAAAACAGGAAAACACCTGCAGATCCGAAAGCTTCTGATTTACTGAAACCTGAACACAACACCGACAGAACTGGGTCAAGCGCCTGACACGTCTGAAAGGCAGCGGAGATTTCCCACAGGCCCTGAATGCAGCGCTCCGACGGCCAGATATTTACATACACTTCATGGAAGAAAAATTAATTTTCATATCAAATCAGAAAAAAGTTTCTATTCAGGTCCAAGATCGGCTCACCTTTGGCCTCCAGGTGATGAAGACGTCTCCATCATCATCATCATCAGACGTCCAGCCATCAGGCCGTTTGGGTTTTGTGTCTCACAGATGAACATCTTTCCACATGTTCAGCACAGCGGTGGCAGCATCATGGCGTGGGGGTTTCGCTGCATGAGGGACCGGTGCGCTTCAAGAACCTCCAGCTTTGCTACACAGTGAAAGAAAGGGAACCGGCTGCCGTTCTGGAGGGTCCATCACAAAGTCCTGATGCCCAAAACAACTAGTTGACCCGGTTCCTCCAGTTCCAGGAGAGCAACGGATCAGAACCGCAGCAATCTACGTGAGACAGTCGATCGGACCATTCCACTGATTTGGCAACGTCTGGATCAGCAGAAAATGTCAAAAATGATCTCCGTCACTTTTCTGAAAGAGAAAAATCAGAAATAATTCTGGTGACCCGGTCCGGTCCGAACCGTCCAGTATTAGTTCAGTTTGTGTCCATGTATGAAAACTTGTGGTGTGTCCTTCAGATTGGAGGCTTCATGGCTCAGCAAGCAACATCCACTGAGACGTCAACCTGCGGTTTGGCGACAGGCCCAGTGGTGGAGAAAACAACGGCTGGTTGCCAAATACGGCAACTAGCCTGCGGCGGGTCGCGTGGCGGCGCTGTTTGTCCTTTAACAAAATCAAATGGATCCGGGGGTGGAGCCTGCTCTCTCCTGCCGCCATGAAAACTCCCATGATGCATTCTCCCAGGCGCAGGGAAACATGAAGGCGATGAAAACCAGACGCGTTTTCATTTCTATGCCGAAGCGTAGAAATGAAGCGTCTTGTCAAAGATTTACCAAGAATATGAAACAATAAATAAATATGACAATGGAAGCAACATGGCGTGAAAGCAGAAAGTTCCAAAATGTCTTCCGGCGGTGAAAACTGGAATGTCTACCTTCCACAGTATTTCACCGGTGGACTCAGCAGACGATCCCTCAGCATGATGCTGCCGCTGCAGGAGTCCAGCTGCTCATTCTGTTTATCGCTCTTTATTTCCGTACAACTCAGGAGTTTGAACTGGAATTGTCCTAATAATTGCTGCAAATGTCTCCCATTGCCACTGGTTTGGTTTGAATGCTCATCTGTTCTTCATTGACCTGTAACAGAATATTGCCGGCTGCCTGTTGGAGGATCAGGACGGTTTGCTGGC